TGGGGGGGGGGTCGGTGTCCCTGGCAGAGCAGAGGGACGGTGCCTCGCAAGTGGGAGGGAAGGAAAACGCAGACAATACTTTTTGATGTGCTGGGTGACCCTGGGGTTTTTCTGTTTGTGTGGTTTTCTTCCTTGTTTTTATCTCGTTTTCGGGTAATAACGGCGTTTGGCCCTTTTTAATTGCACGCTGGTAATTCGAAGAGTCTGCCTCTTGCCTCAACCTGAGAAATACTCTGAAATTTTTTTTTTTTTTGGTCAATGTTTAATAACTTTGTTCTGAGCAGAGATTTTATTAAACAGATCATGAGTAAGGAATTTCCTTTATTAAGAGTGAGGGAGGTGGGGTAAGGGGTAGAATTTATCTTACAGTGTTTTACCTCTGGTTTAAGCAACTCGGTCGGTGATCAATTTACCCGCTTCCTGCTGCGTCTCCCCAGGTTTTCAGGAAAACACAAGGTTTAACGTTAAAAGTTCTTGTAGGCCACACAGCTTGTGAACAATGGCTGTGCTTTAATTTCCAGTCTAACTTTCAAAACCAAAATCCAAACCCACCCAACCCAAACTCTCTTCTAGTTTGTGTTTGAACTTTTTGAAATGAGGATCTCATGTGCCTTAATTTTTTAATAGGATCTGTTATTTTTAGAGGAATATTGAATAAGAGCGGTGAAGCTCTGAACGCGTAGCTGTGCGCTATGCGGATTAAAGCCACTTTATTCAGCGTCGTTGCCACTTCTGCTTCAAACTTGCTTGGGGATGTCTCCGAAGTTTTTGTTGCTTGTGGGGCCTCCCATATTCTAAAGTATTTTGCTTGTAATGGTAACACAGAGCAATTTATTTACATGCTATGTTTTTATCAAGGGAAGAGGAAAATTGTCTGCTTTGAGTGCTTTGTAGCCATGTAGAAGCCTTTGTTTGTAAATATGTAACTCTTCCCAGCAAATGGTTTACCTAGAAAAAGTTTATTATGTATTTTTATGAAAAGTTTGGGAATGAAAAGGGTCCTAGTAGCCATTAGCAGTGGCGAGTCTTGCAGCTGCCAGTTAGCTTATGAATGTGCGTTGTGTAGGTGACTTAACATATTTCTGATGCTCTGTGTGCTTTGAATGACAGGATTCAGCTGTCCGCTACATTTAACATGGCATTTCTATAAAAACACGTCTTGGAACTGCACTTGAACTACCCAGAATGCTCTTTTCCCCTTTGCTCCCTTTCAAAATGTCGCCTTTGCCAAGTTTTTCTCTTGTGTTTGGAGCTGCCTCATCTGTATTAGATGAAAGAGGAAGCGTCTGGGAGCAGGAGGCACTTGTGCACATCTTCATAATACCTTTGCTGAGATTTTCTAGAGTTTCAAAAAAACCACCAGTTTTTACAGTAACGCAATTATTAACGGTCTGTGTGCAAATTAAACTAGAAATGCATTTGTGCTGGTGAGCAGAGGGGCCTTGCAGTCCGCTGCCTTTTGAGGGAGGGAAGTAAGGTTGTGGCTGTGCAGACTTCCACTGGCAACTTTGTACCTCGTGGTATTTCCACTGGAAACAGGGCTTGTCACAATATATAGATACTTGAAACTTTTTGTGGATTCATAGTATCTCTCTCTAATTTTTTTAAAGACTGCCCCAAGATTACTTTTGTAACCTCCTTTCATAGAGGCTGCTCAGATTTCATTGTCTGCCCCTAATATATAACCCAACTTGGTGGTATGTGAATTTCTTACCAGTAATTACTTAATTTTTTTTTTCTTATTGCATAGAGGAGCTTTATTGCTTCATTTCATGTTACTGAAGGATTTTGATGATGTTTATTAAAGGGAAACTAATGGGAAAATGCCATGAAATTGCAGTATTGGATTCTTAAAAATCAGTGAAGATTTAGTAATATCTGGTGTTGTCACAGTGTTTTATGAAGTATTTGGGGAAGGTAGTGATTTCCAGACTTTTTGAAAGACAGAGGAGCTAGTTCTGTTAAATGTTGCTGGTATTTAAGTTGTGAAGGTTTTTGAATATATAAAAAGCCTTGCAGAGTTGCTTCTTTATGTGTCCATGGAGGCTGTGTGTGTGTGTCAACAAATACATGTTGTAGGTGCAGTTAAAAAAAATCTCTCTGCAGTTCTTATAGTAATTTTCTTCTGAATGTTAACACTGTTCTCAATTAGTGGGACAAACTTGACTAAGTTTGATGAAAGATAGGATTTGGATTTTTTTTGTGTCAAGTTTCTCTCTCCACTGTTAGAAAATTGTTCTTGGAAGTTGCTTGTAGTAGTTGACTGTAGTTCAAAACTACTATGATGAGCATAGAGGAAACACAGCCGCCTTTCAGGTTGTTGGAGCTGCTGTCAGGATCAGGGCCAAGGTTTACAGCCACCAAGGTACAAGAGTAAAAGCATTCTCGTGCTGGTATGCAGCTGTGGTGGGAATACATAAGGGCTGCCCCCCCCTCGCCCCCCAGTTTCATCCTTGTAACTCTCTGTGGTATTTGTGGGGTTGCATTTAGGTAACTGAAGTCATAAACTAGCAATCTTTCTAAAAAATAATAATTCTGACTATACCATGCCTTTGAAAACAAATTCAATTTGTGTGTGTGCTCTGCATTGGCTGAGATTACATAATGGGGGAAAACACTTTTCTATTCACATGTGTAATGTCTTTATTGCTCTCGGGATCAGCTGATAATGTTGTCTTAAAATAACAAACAAACTTGTGTGTTTTTGTGCTGCTATCAAAATATTTGGGGGGATAGTAAATTATTGAGTTGCTGTCAGCCTAGTCTGCCAGTTGTCCTGCACGCAGATGATTTTGGGTGTGTGCAAAGCATTTGGGGCATTTTCAGTGTTGGATGGTTTCCACGACTTGTCCAGCTTTCCCCTGGTGCCATCGACAGCGGGACCAGCACTGCTGGCTGCTCTGGCTCTGGAAGGTTCTGCCGAGATCCCAGGCACCGAGAGGTTAGCTGCTCTTTTCTCCAGGGAATCTCGTACAAAACGTGCCAGTGCGTTTTACCATCTCATGACCGAAGCCAGCTTCTGAGTTTGCAGGAAGAGTGCATATTGTGTTTGGGACTTAATTAACTGTATAAGCAGAAACCCAGTATTTTAAGTTTGCATTTGAAAAAAAACCCAAACCTGTTGCCTTGATGTTTTGCATGACTGAGTGAACACATCGTGATACAGTGGGACTTGTGTATTGATTGAAGATCTGCCTCGCAATTTGTCAGGTGTAAACAGCACGGCAGGCACTGATGGTGTAATTTGCGTTCCACCGGGTTTTTCGGGGGCTTTTTTCTAGCAATTTTCTGTGGCAGCACTCCAGTTGGTATTTTGTCCATCGCATAAATTGGCATTCTGATTTCAGTGTAATGGGCACCTTACATGAATCATGCGTATACTGATAACACTTTGCAGCACAATATGTGGGATTTTTGGCTAGCGTGCATTTTTATGTGATATTTTAGTTGCTAGGTTAATGGAGCAAATAACTGTGTTAAAAGGCATCAGATTTGGCATCATGATGTCTCCCTGCCAGTGTCAAGCTGGGTGTGTTATTTAACACGTAAAGCTGAAGCTGTGAGGATTTCATGTTTTCCTTCTCTCTTTCTCGCCGTCTCTCCCCCCTTCCCCTCACCCCCCTGTAGGTGTTGGTGGAATGAGCGTTGCGTGTGTTTTGAAGAGAAAAGCAGTACTCTGGCAGGACTCGTTCAGCCCCCACCTGAAACAGCACGCTCAAGATACAGCTAATCCCAACATGCCTGTTGTATTGACATCTGGAACAGGGTCCCAGGCTCAGCAACAGCCAGCTGCAAATCAGGCGCTTGCAGCAGGGACACACTCCAGTCCTGTTCCTGGATCCATAGGAGTTGCAGGCCGCTCCCAGGACGACGCTATGGTGGATTACTTCTTCCAGAGGCAGCATGGTGAGCAGCTTGGGGGAGGAGGAAGTGGTGGAGGCGGCTATAATAACAGCAAACATCGCTGGCCTACTGGGGATAACATTCATGCAGAACATCAGGTAAAAAAAAAAAAAGTTCAATGTTTCCAAACTCAACACCTGAACGCATCGGGCTTATGATAGATGCTTTTAATGACACTTTTTAAAGCTTAAGCTGGTTACTGTGTGGTTGGATAATGGCAACAGTTGTACTTTTTGTTTTCTCTTTTCAGGATTGCTGTGCCTTGGTAGCTATAAGCTGACACGTTTCTGCTCTTGAGGGTGTTGAAATCGCAATCCACTCTCTGTGACAGTCAAATGCATGTTTGCAAAGTTTATTATTCCCTTTATTGATTTTTTTTTTCGGATGTGTGAACCACCATAGCAGTGAGTGCTGCTGCTTTTCAAATCTGTTGCTGTAGTTAAATAATTCTTATGTAATGGTATTACAAAACTGCCAATGCATGTAGGTTGGGCTTTTACCATTCCCAATATTGAAAAACACAGTTCTGGAAGTTGCTGGTAATGTGTTTTCCTGGGTTTCTTTGCTTGTTTGTTTTGGGGTTTTGGGTTTGGGTTTTTCTGGTTATAATTGGGAGGGGAAGGTGCTATTAATGTGCTTAGCTGAACTGAGAAGAGAACAGCCTTAAGAATGTCATGGAACAGTGCTTTCAGAAACACAGCTAACTTCTTACATCGACATAACATTTCTAAAAGGGTAGTGGGCCAAAATGTGTCTCTGTAGTAGTGTTTACTAGAAGTCTTTTCAGTAGTTGCATTGTCAGATGTGCTGTGAGTTAAATGGGTGTATGACTCACTCTAGCTTTCTGGCTGTGACCTCTAAGTAACTCGTCAAAGGAGGAGATGTGCTTCCTCTTCTAAAGGAGCAGAACTTAAGTGTAAGCACATTTTAAAAATGAATGATTCCCACAAATACTGTCAGAGCAGCAGACACAAAGCTTTTGCAACCTTTATGAATATCTCTTGCCTCTAGTTTTTCAAATAAAAGCGAACAAGCCCTTGTTCCTCTGCTGTGCTTCCCCAGGGGATGTGTTGCCATCAGGACCATTTAAAAGCAAACATTGCAGTGAATTTTGCAACATCACTGAAGTCAGTGTGTACATCACCAAAGAAGTAAACCCAAGTGTCCTGTCAATTTGTTCTGGAAGAAAAATGGCATAAAATACTGCAATATGAACTAAGCAGCCAGAAGAATATTGTAGTTATTCCCTTATGTGGAAACATGGTATTTAGTTAACTATTAACTATTCAGTTAACTTTAAAGGAAATAACTGCATTGAAATGAGATGTAATTTTTCTGTTAAGTATCCAAGTTTTCAGTCATGAAATGTAAAACTTGTTTCAAGAGACCTTGATGGAAGAGATCTTAATGTGCTTATAAGTTGTGTAAGAAACAGTAAGAAAAAATTTCTTACTGAAAGGCTGCAACTTTTAAGTTTTTCAAATAAAAACTATCATGCAGTCTGGTGTGGAGGTGTTTGGGCAGGGACTGCTTTTGTTTGGACATTTTGTGGAAAGATGACTTAATGAATTAAAATGAACTTCATGAAATTCTCAATCCTCTTTTCCTCCAGCTCACACTTTCATCACTCTTTCTCTGAAAATCCGTAAAAACAAAGACAACAAAACTCACTGGAGATGGGGGGACGGGGACAGGACACCCAAACCTTGTGGTCATTAAAAATTGTGCTCGTATTTGAACTTTCTGTACTGCATTCTTTAATAACCAGAAGACTTAAACTTTCACTCGAACAGAAGAATCCTACCTGTTATTGAGACTTGCCCTCATGTCAGTAGATGTGTTGCTCTTCCTCAGCTTGATTTTTCTTCAGTAACTTCTTGAATGAAATGATATTAATGAATGTACCACTAATGAAGACAAAAACCTCGTTAGCTTACAATAGTTTAAATGAACTTTTAAAAAAATAACACATGTATTCTTTGGAGGCAGAAAACTACTGAGAAGGCTGTATGGACAAAATATGCCTGCAGGCTTAAGCTCACAAGGTTCTGTGTGATGCTTTCATCGTTTTCCCCCATGTGTTCTGTGATCTGAAGCTTGAGAAATACCCACTATAATACAATTAACATTGGGACCTTATCTGTTCTACTTCCTGGTGGTTTTTGCATTGGCTGTAATGTATGTGTCACATAGTCCTGATGTGTTGCACTCAGTATGCATCCTTAAACCAATCTTTGTGTTTAATTTCTTCGAAGTCAGCTCTGAGATGGGGCAGTAACCCTTTTCTCATGTGTCTTATTTGATACCATATATTCCAGTGATTGCTGGGCAGTTTTATCTGTGTGTTTATAGCTTCAGCCTTTCTTGAGTGCCTGTTTTTCCACGGTTCTCTGTTTGCCTTGGGGGTTTTACTCATGGGAAGCAGAATGCAGGATATATGTAATCCTAATACTGCCATTCCTTTTGACTTTTTGGCCACCTCTGCATCTGCTTCTTAAATTCTAAATTCCTTGGAGCAAGAACTAGTCTTATGCATGCAAAATAATTTAATTCAGTTTGAGCTTAGCTGGGGTAAAATTGAATTTATCCTGCAAGAATAGAAGTGGAAGGAAGTGCTGGGACATGCAGAGAGGTGGGGAATCATTATGGATGTCTGCTGAGTCTCAATTTCCTATGGATACACTTATGTTACTGTACTTTTGATTTTAGACTTTCAAAGATAATGCAGTGAGGGCCCTTGCCTTGCTGCCTTGAAGACTGGTTAGGAAACTCAGTAGATAAAAGATAATGGAAAGTCAGAAAAAATAATTATAGGGTAATATAGGTTAATGCCTGCCTAGAGCTTGGGAGGTCGTAATTAAAGGTAGAGGTTTTTTTTAATTGTTGAATCCCAGTTTCTTCTTTGTTACGTATGCAGACAGACATCTATCTCTGTCTGTTGGTGATAATACTCCAGTGATTTTTACCAAATGATAGCATTTCGTCATGTGTTATTAAATAGCTATGAGTGTTGTGAGTCAGGACTTATTTACGGGATCCTTGCTTTTCATTTTTTATTGTGCTGGCTGTTCCTCCTTGTCATTTGTTCATACTTTGACTAGCAGCTCTGAGAATTGAGCTGTAAGTGGCTTTACTAGGGATGACTTAGACAAAGTTTCGTTGCTCCCAAGGAAGTAGATGGGGTTCTCTTGTTGAGAACAGAAAGAAAATGTTGGTTCTTTTTATATTTTACCTAGAAACTTTCTCCTTCCTTTGCATTTTTCCCTTCTCCAGAAGGCAGGAGAATAACTGAGTTTTTATATAAAATTAAGCAATTAAAGATGCTACTGTCACTTTGCATATTTGGGTATCAACGATATGTCATCCACACAAATGGCATATATTATAAATTCCTCTTTGTTCTTGCAGACACTGTAGTAATGGTTGGAATCTCTGAACTCCTAAGCAAAATTCTAGCTGTCTGCAGCTACAGATACTTAATCACAAAACTTTACATGGAAGACACTTTCATCAGCCAGGTCTTGACTGCAAAACGTAGTCTTCTCTTTTTATCCACAAAAAGCAGCAAGATGGAAGCTGAGTGTCGATGTCCACCAGTAATTCTAAGATTCAGACTGGAAGAGGTTAAGGCTGTCATTCACTTACTCAGGCTCTTTGGGCAGACAGTTGTGCTAGTAGCACTACGGTGTTTGTATGCTCTTTATTCTGCATAAAAATGGGTAGAGATCAGAACTTCACATAGGTGAGTGAAGAGGTGCAAGATGACTCCTGATGAGTAATGGCCTAGGTTGGATTTGTCTTGATTATGAAAGGTTGCGTATCTCATTACAAATCCAAACAGCCATCTACTACTCCTGTGAGGAATGAAAAGATGGTCGAGAGATTCAGCTGGGAGAAGTTATCAACACTGAGCAGGTTTTTAGGAAAATTGGCTGGGTTTTCTTGGATGGGGTCTCCTGTGGCTTGTGAATGCGTGTATGTTCTTGAACTAGAGTGAAGAGAGAGTTTCTCTCGTGGTGGTCCTTTCTGAATTACAGTGAATGGATATACTTAGACTGTCTGAGTTGCAGTTAGGGTAATGTGGGAGTTGCTTAGTAGAAGCAAATGATTTTAGGGATTTACTTTCTTTGAGAGCATGTTTAATTAATAATTTGAGACAATAGAACTCTGCAGGGATTGTCTTGTTGAATGTGGGGAATTTTTCACATAGTTGGTGAAGAATAGTGAGCAACTGGGCTGGGACTGCGTTTTGTGCTCAGTTTTGCCTTTTGGCAACGTGGGTGTGCAACTTCTTAACTGGGAACTTGCATTCAAGTGGAGACAGAAGGTAATTCTCCTGGTAGCTGCTCTTCTAGAGCGCTGCTACTCAAACTGTGCTGTTTGCTGCTGTGAAAGTGTCTGGATTTGACGTTGTTTGACAATGCTTGGTGCCTGTTGGCAGGCACCATGACCAGAGTTTGTCTTGAAGTTGTGGCAAGGTCCTCTAAAAAGATCCTGGCAGCTAAGGAAGCAGAAGCCCTAGCGTTTGTTCTTCCAAAGTGAAAGCCTGTTTTGAGTGATGGTTAACTCTTCAGGACAGAGATTTCCTGATCTGCCTAGGGAAAGCACCTAGTATATGAGGGCTGCAGTGGTCCAAATAATGTGGCTTGTTGTCTGGGCTAGAGTTGAAGGCATGGAGCAAGTTCTTAATCGCGTACACCACATGATAGAACACGTGACTCTGTTCTTGAAGAACGTTTTCTGATAGGTGTTTTATTAAATCTGTTGAATTTTCATGGGTACTTCCTTGTATGACAGTGAAGTGGTTAGGGCTTTTCCTAAGTTGACACTGAAATGGCTGTGCTAACTTGATACCCAGATAACTTAGAACATAATGCATTGCTGAAATGAAATGTCTAGTTTGGCTGCTTTGTTTTGCAGAGATTTCCCAATAGTAAAGGGGTATTTCTGGGGGGAGGAGGATCAGAACATTTCATTTAGTTTTCTGCTTTACATTGTCCTTTGAAAATTCCTCCTGAGATACATTCATGAGTAGATTGGCTAAATTGGATATTTAAGGTTGGTTATTGGAAAATCCTTCTCTTGTATAGGGGACAGA